TTTTTCAATAGTTTAATAAAAAATTAAATGAGCATTTATTCATAAATCACTCTTGACCTATTTATGTTCTACTTAATTCAAATTATTTTATTATGTTCTATTAAGTCTGATTGGTGACACATTTACTAAAATACTCTAATAGTAATATTCATATTGACAGTGTAAATATTCCGTAATCTGAACATTCACATTATAAAATATGAATATTCACACCATCAAGTTACTAACCATTCAAAAAATATTTATAAGGGTAAAATTATCCATAAAAAATCTTAAAAATGAGAATTAAGATTTGGTAGATCAAATGTCCAAATAATAAGACTTTTTGAAAGACAAGAATATGTTATAAACTAATTGGATAGAAGTATTTGAAATGATTTCTTAATAAATCTCTCAAAATTAAACCCATGTACGCCTTGTTTGGAAAGTTGGCTATTTGGCTATTTTAGTCTGACTAAAAAAGTTGTGTTTGCGAAGTTGATTTTTTTTTTTTTGAAAAAAATTTGATTTGATAGTTGTGAGAGAAAAAATAAAATGATTATGCATTCGTATGGCATGGCTGGTTTTGGCGCTAAAAGGCTATTTTAGCTATAAAAAGACGAAATAGGTTAAAGCCAATAAAATAAAATGTTACATCTAAACCATAATCATTTCATTTTTTCTTTTACAAAAATCAAAAAAATCAAAAAATCTATCACAAACGAAACTTTTTAGTCTCAGGCTAAAATAGCCAAAAAGTTACAAAGTCAATCTACATCCCAAACGAACCCTATGTGTTGGATGTGACATTTATCTTATTAACTATTAGAGGTGTTCAGCGGATATTTCGATCCGCCCAAACCGACCGAATAGAACCGATCCACTGCATTTTGGATGGATGCGTGATGACGAGCGGACGGTTATGAATTGATTTTTTTTTCCAATCGACCTAGTTTTGGACGGTTGGTGGATTTGAGATTCTTTTGGCCGCAACCGAACCGCTAAAACGCGAACACCCCTAATAATTTGTAAGACTTTGTGTTTTTAATTTATTTAAATATTCTGTTTGTATTTTCAATTGAAAAAAAGTTTAGATATTCTGATATGTTTTCAATTTATTTTCAATTTGAAAATCTTTTTATCAAATGACAAGTGTCAATATTTAGTATTTTTGTGTGAAAAATATAATACTTAATTTTGTCATTTTTAAAAAAATAAAATTAAATAGTTTTTGAATAAAAAAAAAGTAATGAAATAATTTTGATAATGCAGGGTTTTCTTATATGTATTTATTATTGATATTTGACAATTTACTTGATAATTTTTTAGTTATGTTAAGTTGGATTGTTATCCAAAAAAAAAAAAAATGTTGACAAGTTATAAGAGAAAAAGTAAAATGATTATGCATTCGTATGACATGCCTAGTTTTGGGGCTAAAAGGCTATTTCAGTTACAAAATGACGAAATATGCTAAAGCCAATAAAATAAAATGTCAGATCTAAACCAGAATGATTTCATTTTTTCTTTTATAAAAGTTAAAAAAATCAAAATGTCTATCCCAAATGAGACTTTTTAGCCCCAGACTAAAATAGCCAAAAAGTTAAAAATTCAATCCATATCCCAAACGAACCCTATGTATTGGATGTGACATTTTATCTTATTAACTATTAGGGGTGTTTAGCGGATATTCCAATCCGCCCGAACCAACCGAACCGAACCGATTTGTTTCATTTTGAACGGATGCGTGATGACGAGGGGATGGTTGTGGATTGATTTTTTTTCCAATCAACCTAGTTTTGGACGGATGGTGGATTTGAGATTCCTTTGGCCACAACCGAACTGCTAAACCGCGAGCACTTCTAATAATTTGTAAGACTTTGTGTTTTCAATTTATTTAGATATTCTGTTTGTATTTTCAATTAAAAAAGAGTTTAGATATTCTGATATGTTTTCAATTTATTTTCAATTTGGAAATGTTTTTATCAAATGACAAGTGTTGATAATACTTAATTTTGTCATTAAAAAAAAAAATCAAGTTAAATAGTTTTTGAATAAAAAAAAAGTAATGAAATAATTTTGATAATGCATGGTTTTCTTATAGGTGTTTATTATTGATATTTAACAATTTACTTGATAATCTTTTAGTTATGTTAAGTTGGATTGTTATCCAAAAAAAAAAAAAAAATGTTGACAAGTTATTATATTATGTTTAAAATTTGTAAAAGTTTAAACCGCCAAATCAATTTCCATCCATCTATTAATCCGACAATCTGTTCAATCTGCATCCGTCAATCCGACGGGCTGATGCAAATTGATTTTTTCCAACGCCAATCCAATGGATGAATGACAAATTGGAGGTTCTCCAACTACAACCGAATCACGAACAATTTTATTAATTATTTTAATATATTTTATCATTTAATGAATTATTTTAACCCAACTCTCACCCAAATATTTATTTGCTTCGTTTTTTCCTCCACTATATTTTTGTGCAATTATTCTTTTTACTACCTTTTTAATTTCTAATTTTATTCCACTAACCCAAAAACTGAGAAATGAAAAACAAAAAATAATCTTAATTTAATAATGAATTTTGAACACTGTAATAACTAGGTAGCCATTTATCATTTTAAAACATTGCCTAATTTGTTAATGCAATTAAGGTGGAAGGCAATAGGGCATCTCCAATTGTGTGTGTGTGTGTGTTTTTTTTTTAATATAAAATTTGAGTATAATCTTAATTTAATAATGAATTTTGAACACTGTAATAACTAGGTAGCCATTTATCATTTTAAAACATTGCCTAATTTGTTAATGCAATTAAGGTGGAAGGCAATAGGGCATCTCCAATTGTGTGTGTGTGTGTTTTTTTTTTTTTTTTAATATAAAATTTGAGTAAAAGCTCATTTTGATATCAAATGCTCTAATAGAAGGTCTTAAGATTTTATCAAATCACCGGTCAACTGGCTAGTATAATTTTTTCATAAATTTTTATCTTGAAGTGGTCATCTAAGGGATATCCAGTGACAAAAATTCAACGATAATGAACAGTAATTTGATAAAAGACAGCCATTTTCAATTTGATGAAAAATTTGAAAAATCCTGAATTTAATGATGGATTTGATGACCCGTTGAAGGAGTGAAAAATAAATTTTTTTATCAAATTTAAATTTGATGATAAATTTAATAAATTATTAAAGATGGTCTTAGGGATTGCTATCAAGCACAATTGACTAGAAGTTTAATCACTTGCTACTTAAAATGACTGGAAATATGAAAAATGACTTATAATATTGGGGGATTTGGTGATAGCCCCCTCACCATCTAATTTGTCTTTCAAAAGGACAAGAATTACATAAGTACTTTTAAAACCTCATGATATTTTAAAACTTGTTTCTTTTACTATATTACCTTCATATCTATCAGCTCTCCTATTAAGCCATCTTCACTATGTATTTCAGAGTAAAATTTTACTCTGTACAAAAGTAAAATTTTACTCGGAATAAGAGTAAAATGTTACACTCTGAAACTAAAGTAAAATTTTACTCTGTATAAAAGTAAAATTTTACTCTGAAAAACAAGTAAACTGTGAGACTCTGAAGCTAAAAGTAAAATTTTACTCTGGTTTTGTCAAATGAAAAAAACAGAGCAATAGAACCAGAGTAATATTTTACTCTGGTTCTATCAAATGAAATTAGATCATTCACAACCACTGTTCTTCTGTTTCTTCACAGTTACTTGGCTCTTTCGTATTACCTCTTTGGCTTCTCTGTTATCTATTACATATACACAATCATATTGCTCACTCACGACACAAAAATTTATCAAAATCAAAAACAATTTTACAATAAAAAGTTAAGAGAACATAGTAACAACTCATCAATAGATCAATTTAAGAACTTAACAACACTATCCAAATGAAAAATCTGTCCCTCACACACACACAAACACACACATATATATATGAAAAATCTGAAGAACTGTGTTCAAATATGAAAATTTTGAACAGTCGCGTGATTCGTCTCTATACTCTTTCATAATTCGAATTTTTGATCGACGAGGCTATCATCAACGGCAAGAACATGAACTTCATGAGAATTGGAAGGCGATATGTCGACGTCGTCGAAGCTTTCTCCGATCATCTTCGACGATCTCTTCCACTGCGAAACCTATGTGCCATTCAAAGAAAATTCTCTGCAACTGAGAGTGATTTAGGTATATTCACAGTTTTGGTTGAAATTACAAGAGCTTCGAACGAATCCAATCCAAACCCTAGGAACGGAAGAGAGAAGGAAAAGAGAGAATTTGTTTGTGCGTTTGCTTTGTTGAGGCTTCGATCATGTTCCACCGCCTTGAGGAAGACACCGGCGACGACATATGAACCGCCGGAGAGTGATCGAAAAACTGAATCGACGTAGGAGGAGATCGAAGAATGTTGAGAATCATAACAGAGAGCTCGTAAAAGAGCAGAGAAGGTGAGGAGAGAGTGGGTGGAGAAGGTAAGGAAATTTAGTTAAGGGTATAATAGTCTAATAAAATATTTAAATAATAAATTTTGTCCTTTATGCAAAATTTTATAATTATGAAGGGATTTAGAAAATATAATTTTTTTCTTAATCCTTTTAACAATGAACGGAAGGTAAAATGAGTTTATAGCTAAATTTCCCTATAATATTTAGTAGTTTTTTATTTTACATTATCAAATTAAATAGACTACTACTCTACAATAGCTAGAAAGTAAAAATAAAACGCCACCACAAAGATGTTAAACTCTTTTCTATAAGAATTGAGCTCGAAACCTTACACCGGTATAACGCAAACTATGCCAAACACCCTACTTTAGCACTAGAAATTCAGCAATAACCATCTTGTTTTGAAAAAATGGTTAAAATCCTTAGTTTTTTTAGGTATGATAAATAAATTAAAATCTATTCAAACATAGATTCAATCTGGTGGTGCATTTCAAAATGCTGTCACAATGCTTTATCCATTTTGGATAAAAACCATCTAACAAGTAGAAATTCACTGTGAAAAAAAAAAACCTGTAAAACACTAGACTTTGTCAACACTTCAGTTTCACCTGTCAAGACTGTAGTCAATAAGCTTTACAAACAGTCTTTGAGTTTCTTCATCAAGAAAATAATACAAATTTCTTTCTTTCTTTTTTTTTTGGTTTTTTGGTTTTTTGCAATTTTTTTTTTTTTTGGGGGGGGTTTTTTCCTAGTGCACATGGAACACCATGACCCCGGAAGACATCAAAGAAATAGACACAACTTCAAAGGATTTGGGCTCCAGGCTCCCACAATTAGATGCAAACACTAGCTATATAAACCCAAAGCTAATGGAAACTATACAGATATATGCCTCTCTCTCTGCCTCAAATCAAATCTTTACGAACCGGACATCACTTTGCCCAAATGCAGTTCCACAGCCAGGACACTTCCGATGGCGGATCTCTAGATTTCTTTGAATGCAGGGATTACAAAATAGATGATAGCACTTAACTATTACAACCTGCCAATTAAACATAACCCAAAATCAATTACCACACACAAATATATAAAAACACAGTTAATGTGCTTTAAGAACAGCAGCATTGGCAGATGGACAAGACAGTTTGACTACATTAGAAAATGGAATGTCACGAATCCAAATCTAAACAAATAAAAGAAGTGAAGTTGTTCAAATGTGTAACCTGCCATGTATTTTTACCTCCTTTGGCCGATCAAAACACACACCACACTTGAGAATAGCCTTGCAATCCTTGATTTCATCCTGGAGTTTCTGTATTGCAGCCTCCCCATTTTCAGAACTCATCTTGGCAACCTTCATGTTTAATTCCACGAGCTCTTCATCAAGCTTCTTCCTCTCGCTCCTGGTTTTTCAGGGACTCGATTTAGTTAATGGAGAATCTGGCTTAGGCAATGATTGCATAGAAATTTTTCTCATACTTCACAAAAAAGTTCAATGATTATATTCCCAAACTCCAGTAGCATGCTTGGAATCATCAGACACAAGTTTGCAACATATAACATCACTCTAAATGAAATGCCCAAGTTTGAAAAGTAAAAAGGTAAAAAAGATTTAACACCTTTCACTGTCCAGTTCCATTTGGATTTCATCCATCTTTCTCTGTATCTGCTCACATTCTTTCTCAGAAGAAGAAACAGCGGATTTCAGCCACTTCAATTCCTTCTCAGCATCTGCCAATTCCCACTTTGCCTTTTCCAGGTTGACTGCAAGGTGTCTATCTTCTTGAGTAGATTTTAGAGCTTCATCGATGCAAACTTTCATCTGCAGAGTTCCAAACTAGGTTGGAGGAAGATAAAGAGGCAACTTTGTTTATAAACCACTCAGAAACCTTACCTGCTCTTCACTGTCAGCAATCCTCAACTTCAGAGATTCTAGTGTTGTGTTAACCAGCTGGAATTGCTTTGCTAACTCCTGCTTCTCAGATAGTAGAAAGCTCTGTGCCTGCTTTGTCTTCACACTCTCAGAAACCAGCTGCAGTACCACCAAAATAAATAAATAAATAAAAAATTAGGAACTACCAGCACTAGCATCAAACTACACAGAAGTTGTCAAATCAGAATATGAATCATGTATATAAATATATTTTTTGAATCGTGTATTGTAAGATTTTTTAACATCACAAAAATAGGTAGAAAATAAATTATTTATAAAAAAAAACATAAACACCTCCTGAGAACAGAACATTAACCAATGCATAATCATTAACATTCCAAAAGTGAGGTTCCTAGAATTAAAGATATGTATACATGAATACTTAATGATATAGACGAGATAAAATTAAGTATAACAAAAGAGGGGAAAACTTTCTTCATACATAAAATACTACAAGAATGATGTAGCAGTGGCAGTGTTGTAAATATTAGCCATCTTTATGGGTGTTTTGTTTTAAAGTGAAAGGCACATCATTATGTATGAAAATTTTGTATAAATTTTTTGTTTGTACATCATTACTCCAAAAGATGTAACCCTTCAGAACATTAGTGTATCCTCCAATCAAATTTACCTTCAAAATTTCTCTCTTAATAATCGTATAATATGTTTTCCATATTATCTTAAATCACCATTGACGTTTTAATATTTATTTGAGAAATGCTTGAGATCCCTAAAACGTGACCTCTAAATTCACTCCTAATGATGTGACGGGCTTGGGTCTTAGCAGTTGATTTTTAAGAGAAATGCTGGAGACCCACAATTGAGGTCTCCCAATTCACCCACAATGATGTGGCAATGTCGTTGGGCCCTACATAGTTGAGTGTGACGAATCAAAAGTTGACACCTAACATGTCACATAATTGGGAGAGCTTTATTAGGGGTCTCAGACATTTTTCGATTTTTAAATCAATCAATAACTGACTTGGATCTCAAGCTTTTTCCTTTTTAATCTTCCACTTTTATTTCTCAAATAGTTTATCCATAGTAGAATATTTTAAGCTTTACCTAATATAATTGAGTATATAAATCAATTGCATAAGAAACTACATATAGACGAGTACATATTTGTCCAAAAGTTGGACAAAAACACAAGAAAAAAAAAAATCCTCCTTATCTTAATAATATTCTATTTTACTAGGGTAAACTACATCCACTTTCCCTAATCCATGAAGAAAAACAGCTAACCCCACAATTTGACAATTATTTGCACCACCCTCCCCTGGTCTAGATAAATTCCATAACACTTGTATTGTTAGTCATCTGTAAATCAAACAGATTTACAACTAAAACCAAACACATCTCCCCTACCATCCCAAAATCAGCCACCCATCACCACCACTCCCCATTCACCACAGCCACCACACTCCAAGGCCACCCTCCTTTAACATAAAATGTGTATTGGCTATACGTATTGATTTGCACTTAAACATATTGAATCAATACATACGTATAATGAAGCGTACGATACTAAAATATTACATAACATAACAACAAACAATAAGATGGTAAACAAGAAAGGAGAAGCAAGGAACTACAATACAGACCTTGATATTATAATCATCCCTTTCAGCCACCTGCTGCAACAAATGTTGGTTCTGAGTCTGCATATCTTCATATGCTTGACCAATAGTCTGCAAATAAAGTAAATGAGTGTAAGAAAGAAAAACAGAATGGTGAGAAGAAATAAAGGCAGGATCAAGGCACAAAAAACATCACAACATTGAACAAGAAAAATTACATGGTTATCTGAGGACTTAAACATAATCATCAGACCTCAATTTCAGAAATATAAGCCTCCGATTCACCATCTTTAATTTTAACAGCCTCCTTCAGCTCTAAAACATCCCTGTAGATGAAGTGACAGCAAACACTGTCACGAACTTAATAAAAAATTTATCTAGTGAGTTTGTATAGGAAAAGGGGAAAGGGATGGGTAAAAAAAAAAATGATCTAGTGGTAATTTTTAATTCACCATGTTAACAATATGGTAGCATTTTTATCACTATATAAAGTTGCTCAGTTATGTGTAAGGATGACAGACAATTTAATTACAAATTCTGAATACCATATGAAACATCCAGGGACTGCAAGGCAAAGCTGGTTTATAAGCAATTACCTCTCTTTTTCAGAGTAAGAGAATTCTAATTTCTGACAATTAAAATAATAATATCGATGTTATTGTTTACATGAAACCACTTCCAGGAGAATTTGAAAATTAATATAGTAACATCCAGAGTAGCATCATAAAGATTATTAAAATAGAAAAAGATGAGCATTAATATGATACCACCACAAAAAAGGCCAGCCCAGTACATGAGCTCCTACTATAGCAGGGCCTGGGAAGGGTCAGATGTACCCAGCTTTACCACTATGTATGGATAGGTAATTTCTGTGTTTTGAACCTGGGACACCCAGGTCACAATGGAGCAACCATACCATTGTGCTAAAGAATTATCTTATATTGCTGCTGCAGGATGAAAAAATACCAAATGTGCACACATTTCAGAGAGCAGAGTCAGAATTAAACCTGTCAGAAGCATCCAATTTACCCCTTAAATCAGCTATTTCAGCTTCAGCAGCAGAAAGCCTTTGTTGGCAGGCAGCTTCAGCTTCATTAGCAGCTTTCACTCTCAATTCCAGGCCATGTTCATCCAAAACATTTCTCAGATGTTCAGCCTGTGAGCGAGCTCTCTGTTCCGATTCTTTGATTTCCATTAAATCTCTAGAACCCAAAATGTTTAAACTTAATCAACAGAAAAATATAATTATTATTATTTTTATAAGAGACAAATATAATTATGCACCATAAACTATGCAACGTGTACTCTAGTACGGTTGTCGACTGTAGATGTGCATCCAGGGATCCAATCAATCAAACCTTTAATTGAAGGATATGTGAACTCAACAAAAAAATAAATGTATTTTTTTTATATTTTTAGTCTATTTTGTGGGATAAATGGTGTTTTATATAAAGTGTCTAAAATGAAACTTTACTCAATTTATAGCAATTATGCAATAAAAATACATATAACGACACTGTTAAATACAGATATATAACAAAATTGAATTGATGACTATGTTTGCTAAGCACATATCTGATGGGAAGTATTAGACAAATCCCATCATAATAGTAAATGGATTCTCAATCTAGCCTCATGCTTTTAGTGGCTTCTACTCTTGGGAAAAATTATATAAAATTTAAATTAAAATTACAATGGGTAACAAATAAAAGCTAATTTGCCAGCACACAAGCCTCCTAGACCCCAGTGTAAGCAATAGTCTTATGCATTGGGTACGACTATTGAATGCCCTTGAACACATATCCATAAAATTACATGCCTGCATATTTTTCCGTTCTACCAAACAAAGAAAGAAATGAATCAAAATTAGATAACTCTAACAACTAGACTTCAGTCTTACAGAGCATCTACATTGGTAACTTAAAATGGACAAAAATGAGATTCAGAGTGAAAAACATATCACAAACTCAGATCTAAGCATTCCAGTCACAGCTGGAGGCCTGGAGACAAATTGGTAACAGCAGCAAGAAGTACCAAATTCAGATAAAGCCCTGGTTTCAAACTCCTAAGGTTTCTTCAATCAGCAGATTAAGAGTGGTGAAGATAATGCCAAAGGTCCCTTCAATCATCATATTAACACTGAGTCCACCACTCATTCTGATCTGACTCAGACACATGATCATTGAATTTGCAAGAACAGCTACTGAAATTTCTCAGGGGAGAGAGAGAGAGAGAGAGAGATCTATGTTCTAACTTCTAAGGACATAAGGAGAGGATAACATACAGTTGTAAATATTTTCATCACTCATCATAGGTCTTCCTTTGTGAAACATAACATTGTAGTACATGCATTCCAAAATCAGGAAGTACAACCGTATGCGTGCCCTTTTCTATTTTGTTAAAACAATGCATTTAATTTTCTCTTTCTTTACTGCTTAATGTTACAATGCCCAGAACCTACCTCAGTAGGTTCCCAAATACCTAATTTAGCACCATCCTATTGATGTACCTGTTGTCATAAATTTGCTGCCCCAGCATATCTAATAGGATTTGCAGTTCCATTTTTTCCTTTTGCATCTTCTCAATCTGCAGCAATTTCATCTTCACAAGTTACTAATAGGAGCTTATTCATATTTTGCTGATAAAAAATGTTTTTATTCATAGAATGGTTGTCAAGAATCAAAATCAAATATTATTTTAGAATGTTCAGAAAGAGAACCATACACCTCATATGCAAGAGGCATCAAAATCAAGACTAGGGTAGAGAAACTTACAAGTGCCTTTAGAGATTTGATCTCTGCTGTGTGTTCAGCACATTTATCTGCCAAGCTTGTCTGTTCACTAGTCTACCAGCAATAAAAGACTGGGTAAATCTCAGAAGATACAACAAATTCACCATAAATGACATTATATAACAAAAAACAAATGCTATCCAATGGATATCGAGACACTGAAAATCAAGTTCTAGTAACTCAGAAAACCTGCAACAAAGTTCCTAAAAATAATAATTAGTCTTTAATTTTTGATCATTGGATTCCAAAAGTTCTGTCTTCGAGATTTATGTAAAGTATATGCTGAACAAAACAATCCTCAGTCCAACATGGCATTATTGCCTACTAGTATTACCATTGCACCCCATTATGTGAGGTTGCATGATCAAGTCTAAGCAAGGATATTCCCCTTAGTAAATTGGTAAATATCCCCTCACATCCACCTCAGACAGCCATACAGGTGCATATAACTTTGCCATTTTGTCACCTCACCGTTTTTTTTTCCTTCCCCTTTTTACTTCTTTTTGGTGGTGCCTATCATTGGAAGGGAGGAGAGGGAAGACTTTAAGAAAGAAAATAAACTCACTTCAACACAGCAGGCTGAATAACAAGATACCAAAAGCGTATGTAGCAAAAGGACAATAAGGTTTTAGAACCACGTAGACAGTGCCATTCCACGAACTTTTTATCAGGAAGTACTAGTAGCTCTATTCTAGAAAAACAAATAGATAGTGCAGTTCCATGAACTTTTATGAGGGAGTAATCCTGATCCTGAACTTCAACTTAAGCAATCTGCTACTAATTTCACCAAGTTCATAGGAAGAGATTATTACAAAATAAACAGCCAATGTCAGATCTTTTATTTTCTTTAAGGCTGCTCCTCATGTGTTTTCAAATAGGGAATCGAAAATGGACACCCCGGTTCATTAAATATCAAATTTTATGATAACAAATAAATAAATAAAATTTAAAAATCATCCAATCGCATTCAAACAGAACCTTTTCGCCCAATAAAGCTTCCAATGTCTGGGCTTCTTCGCGTAAGGAAAGGGCTTCATGAGCTGTTTCCTTCCACCGGTTCAGCTGAGCTTCCATCATTCCCATTTCTTTAGACAAAGCCGATGCCATCACATGAAACTCTGCTTTAATATCTTTCCTACCTGAAGCAGATAACACCTTTTAGAAAATTAAAGCTAATTGATAAAAAAACAAACATGAACCATAACCAATTTAACCTGAATCTTGGACAGCTTCTTCCATTTTAATATCTAGCTCATTTTTTTCCATAATGCACTTCTGCAGTTGAAGCTCTAGTTCTTTCATCTCAGACTCAGCATTGTCAACGCCATTCCTCACAGATCTAGTGGATTCTATTTTAATATTAAATTCCTTCTCCCTTCGGACGAGAGTCGACCTGTCAGCCTATTATTAACTATTAAAATGCACCATACAGTTGAAGCAGCATCAAAAGCACAAGTAAGAACATAAAACAAAGCAGTTTAACCTGCAGAGAATCTGTTAGTCCTTTATAACGTTCCACTTGATTATTCCAATGTTGGAGCTGATCATTCAGCAAAGTGTAAAGACGGGAAGAATAGACATATTTCTCATCCTTCAGTTCGTCCTACAAGAATACAAAATGACTACATAAAAATTCATAACTTGCCAAAATTTAATCCAGTCCAGTTTCTTAGTCACAATGCAAGTATGGGCAATTAGCTCAAGAAATTCAACTTAAGGACCTGAAGATCTTGCAACTGTTTTGACAGGGTTAGATTGTCCTCCTGTGCATCTTGAAGCTCAGAAAGACGGTCTGCTGCCAGTATCTGCATCATTTATTCATCATTAAAATCTGTGTGTGTCTGTGTGTGTGTGTGAGAGAGAGAGAGAGAGAGAAACGATTACAAGATAGCACCTTAGTTTCCTCAATGGAATCCTTCAATTCCCGTAAATGTATTGTCTTTTCTGTAGTTTTTTCAGGTGACAAGCTCCCGTTTACTGCACCCACAACAGGAGTATGTACCCCAGATGCCACATCTTTCTGCATTTTCAGATTAACAAGTTTTCTTCTACTTTCTTCAAGTTCTGCCACGCTTTCTTCTAGTTCACCTTTAGGATAGACAAAAAAATAAAAATAAAGATTCAGCATCCAAGTCACAAGGCATCCTCAAAAAACAACTCGTGATACTGGCTACCTATCAGCCAGCGTGCACTGGGATCTAAAATCTACGTGTCTTTGTAACCTCAATTGCAAGATGTGCACCTGTTTGTGTAATTTCGTACAGATATTGGTCTTATGTAACTTGCAAAAAAAAGTGTCCAATTGAGCATTTAAGTGCTTTAATAATATAAATGCAACTATACAAGGAAGAAGAACTGTCTCAAAGACCTGCAAGACGATGTATCTCAGATTGATCCACTGAATGGCTATGAATATAAGCCTGTATCCCATCAGCATAGTCTTTATGCTTCAAGTGAAGAACATCAATCACCTCATTCAGATAAGAAGTCTCCTCTTTCATCAAATCATCAACTTTAGACAATTGGATTATAGCATCTGAGAACCGCAAGTTGTGACAACACCAATTATCAGCACAAGTTTCTGATTATTTTGAGAAGTCATTAAAAATTATCTTCTAATTAGTCTCTAGGAGTATGAAAAATAATGAATAACCTATAGGCCTCTCATTAAAGTTCATCCTGACCTTCTGCAGATGCATTTCCATGCCAAGCCTGAGCAATGCTCTCAATTTTAGCTCTCCGAGCATTAATGGTATCTTCCAAGAATTTCATCAATTCCCGAGTAGACGAAATGCGTATATCAAGGGCTTCTTGAATATATTTAAGGGATCCATCGCTTCGACTTGTTTCAATTGAATCTGTTTCTAGTAGTCTACAAAGAAATATTTCCTCCGCAGAACATGATGGGATTGAACCTAAGAAGGGAAATCAATAAATTTGATTAATAGTGAACGAACTTACACACATCTTCAGTACTTTAATGAATGAACTGAAATTTAATTCCATCTAAACAAATTATTCTAAAAATAACCTCGAGAATGGTCTACACGATCCAAGGTTTGTAAAGCATTTTGGTGTGCCCCAGCTCGCACTCCAAGTAGGATTAAATCATCAACCAACTATGCAAAGCAATAATTGAAAAAATAAATAAATAAAACAGACACACACACACAAAATAAGAGAACGCAAATCATAACATTGTAAAGGAGTCATATGAAACCGGGCATGCAAAAGAAGAGGTCACCTGATTCCAGAGTTGGTTCACAGTAATCAGCTTGTTATCATAAGAAGCTTGCTGGTCTTTTAATTCTTTAATTTTGGCTTCAAGGTCATGCAACTCATGCTTTTGTACATCTAACTGCTGAACGAGTTTTTGATTCTGATACTGGAGCACTGCAGCATCAACCTGTATAAAAGTGAAACCTTTAAGATATTCATTTTGTTTTTGAAAAGTGACCTCAAAGGTTTTCATTTTCTTTTCATTACGGGTAAAAGAGACAGTTTGAGAATGAAAAACACTTGATGCAAGTCCTGTGAACGGAAGAAGAAGGGGGTTTGGGGGACCGTGCCATATAGAATTTATAGCATATAGTAATAGTGCACGTGCCAAGGAAAGCAAAAAAACAAAAAGATGTCAAAGCTAGAGCTTACAAAATAAACAAAAGTAAGAAGGCAAGTAGCAAGGAGCCAATTCTAAGCAAGGATTTAAATTGCAGTCGTTATCGCAATGCCACAGATGCAGGTTGAAATGGCCAGTATGTAACAAACGCAGATTGCAGAGCCATGACCATAGTAGCACAATTTTATGATATTTTGAAAATCTTACAAATGTATCCTGATGTTTTCAATAAAATGAATGAATCTCAAATCCATCCCGCATAGTTCAATCGAGGAAAAAGATTGAAACCTACAATTTACACACAACGACATGGCAAGTTATGTGTTGCCTTGTCATTGTGGTCGAATTGTGGACCCTAAATTGTGGATCTTTAGCATTTCTCACTGCCACTCCCACTATTGCCACCACATTGCCATCATCACACAATCACTTCCCATACCCAACAAACCCACAAAGAATTAAACAAACCTATAAAATAATAATAATAATAATAATAACAACAACAACAACAACAACAACAACAACAACAACAACAACAACAACAACAACAACAACAATAATAATAATAATAATAATAATAATAAAAGGGGGAAAGAGATTGCAACAGGAAAGCATGGCCATGATTCAAACAATGGCAGCTAAAATTCGACAACACAGACCTAACAGATTCATACAAGCATAAGCAGAAGCTATTACCTTTGAGCATAATCATATAAATGGAATATTTATCAAAAATATATATATATATATATATAAATAAAATAATCGCATAAATGGAATCATTGTGCAGTGAAAAACCCTAACCATGCTCATCACAACTCCATAAAGTTGGCAAATTTATAAAAGATATATGTATTCCATACAATTGAAACCCTAATTGGATTGCTAATTCAACCAAAATCAAATAAAATTACATTCAAATCAAATTATAATTATGTAGAGAGAGAGAGAGAGAGGCAAACAGTTTTGTTATCGGGAGAAGCGGAGGAGTGACGAGCCATGGCGAAGGAAGCAGAGTTCAAATGAGGCCTCTTCTTGTCTGGCTCATCGGAGTCTGGGTTTTCCATTAGGCCTCCTCTCCCACCAACCCTACCATTACAAGATTACCTTGCCTACCTCTGAGCTTCGCAAAAACTTTTTCAAAACCCTAGATTTCAGAGCCAACCACAAAAACCCCCCTCCTCCTCCTCCGGTAGAGAGTAGTGTGTAATAATATGTAATCAACCTCTTGTTCTCTTCTCATTCTTCTTCTGATTTCTGAACCGGCGATTTAAGGACCCTTTAAACCGGCCGGTATGTACAAATTGAACCGTTTCTGTTTTTTCTTTTTCTTTTTTTTTTTTTTTTTTTTTGGAAAAACGGTTTTGTAAAGTGTTGAAATTTGAGAGAATTGCGAGAAAAGTATTAACGGCTTGAATAAAAAGATAAATTAAGATTCGTTTGGAGGTTGATCATTTTAATTATTTTTTGATTTTTTATAAAAAAAATATTAAAAAAAATGTGATAATTTATAATGATTTTTTAATTAAAAACCAAAGTCTCAAACGGAGAATTTGTTATCCTCTTTATATTTTGTTTTTAGTCATTATAATTTTACTTATATTAGTTTTATCTTTGAGAATTTTATGTAGCAAAAAAAATTTACCAAATTTTACATTAGGTCTCGTTTGGGAACAGGCTAATTTAGTAATTTTTTGGCTATTTGGCTAAAAAGGTAGGTAAAAAAAATTTGTATGTTTGGGATGACTTTTTGGCTAATTACGAAAAGATGTGCAAAAAGTAGAGAGAAAAGAGAATCTTTGACTTTTTGGTATGAGTTATTGGCTTTTTGGCTAATTTAGTAACTTTTTGGCTAATTGGCTAAAAAAGTAAGTCCCCAAACGAGGCCTAAATTTAGCACTAGATAAGTGATACTTATGACCGTTTTGTTTATTTGAAGGCAAATATTAAGAAATTAATGAACACTGTTGATAAGTATTTCAATGATATAAATTTGACTTATCCTCTTTTAAAAATGGATTTGGCTCGCTCTTTTTAAAGGAAATTTTGTGATATTAATATTTGTCTCTATTAATTTTTGTTTGGGATAACCTATATAAGTGTATTTTTTATTTTTTTACGAAAAGATGTGCAGAAAAGTAGAGAGGTAATGTGATGAAAAAAAGATAAAAAAGATGAATTATTTTTGAATTGCCAAACTTGACCTTAATGATTGGAGTTAATGACGTCAACAAAATAAACAACAAAAAATTTAATTGAAAATTTGAGGCAGTAATTTTTTCACTTGTTTAGATGCCATTTGTTGGAATGGTTATTGCAAGATTCCATATTTTTTATTTCTCATCCATATAGTATTACCTCTTTAATTAGCGGGAGCTTATTAATATTGGTCGAGCTTGAACTCCGCCCTACTATAACACCTCTCCTTTGCTTTCTCATGTCTTAAATTTGGTAGTTCTTTCTTAATAGTGGGTATCATTTTCATATAATGACGGTGGAATTGACAAAGGAGTGGAGTTTATACATATTTAAGGGAGGTTAATTTGGATTGGAGTAATGTTAGGGATATAAAATTTTCTACCAAATGCTTGATCAAATATCTTATATAGGTATGGGGTTGATAAGGATGTAAAATTTTCTACCAAATAAATGATCAAAGGTCTTATATGGGTGTGAGTCCACACTTTATCCACACTTATATAAAATATTTAGTCATTCATTTAGAGCCTATGACATTTTTCTTTGAATTGTTAGTCAATAATTATTAACTAGCAACCTAATTGGTATTAACTACAAATCACGTATGTACTAATTACAACCATTATAACAATATACAATATTGATGAATTCATAAAAATTATTTTAAAATAAAATACGTTGACCAAATTCATTTTGGATAATTAAATAATTTATTAATTAGCAATCTAAATGGTATTAACTACAAATGACATATGTACTTATTACCACCATTATAACAATATACAAGCTTAATGAGAGCATAAAAATTATTTCAAAATAAAATACGGTGACCAAATTCATTTTGGATAAGTAAATAATTTATTAACTAGCAACCTAATTGGTATTAATTACAAATGACGTATGTACTTATTATAACCATTAGAACGGTAGGTGTTGATTTTTGACCACACAATTAAAGGGGGAACTCAGTTAGAAAGCACCGACAGAATAGATTAAGCCCAAACAACTTGTCACAGAAAAATAAGAATCCGGCGGTGGTTCATCCACTCGGAGGCACTCTAACGATCAAGTTAGTAATCTATATCTCTCAAAGATAGCAAATTGTGCTCAAACTCACAAGAAAGAACTTACTGCTGACAGTCTATCACATGTACCTCGGAGACACTCTAACGATCAAGTTAGTAATCTATATCTCTCAAAGATAGCAAATTGTGCTTAAACTCACAAGAAAGAACTTACTGCTGACAGTCTATCACATATACCTGAGACCCACGAGGGTGCCCTTCTTTTATAGCTAGCACTGACCTGATCCCTGTAGAAGCCTTACTTCAGTGGACTTAGGCTCAATGTTCATCCTGAATTCTCAGCTAGATAGGGATAAACTTCCTAAGAGTTTCATCTTTATCCAGATTGAGATCCTCCATTGTTCCAGGACTCTTGTTCCTTATCTGCTCATCTCGGATTCTGATATCTCCGCAGATAATCTCGGCCTATTCGAGATAACCTCGGCATCAGGACCAAGCCACGTGGCACCTTGGCTGACACTTCGGTGTCACCTTGGCCACGTGCTGTCATTCACAAAATATGTCCCTACAACTGCCTCATAGGTTCTATTACCTCGACAACCTGAGGTGATGAAACCTACACCGTTCGTCCAGATTTTACTTCGGCTAAGAATTCACTTATCCTTCTGATCGAGATCATGGATCGTTAGCTTCATATAACCAAGACTCAACTATCCATCTTTATTAATGGCCAAGAACCAAGAATCAAGTTATTTAAGTTCCTTAACCGAGGTCGTTCCTTTATTCGAGGTTTTTGTTTCATTAAATCAAGAACTTCAAGAGTTTTATCTGCGCATGAGCTATCACACAACGTTTTTCTCAACCGTTTCCGCCACGTGTCCCTTTCGCATTGGGTCGTACCTGATACGCGCTATCAGGTCGCGTCGCTTCTGCACACGCTGCCTGACAGACACATCGTCCAAGGCATATCATTATGGTTTACCACATTTTCATGTTTTTGACAAAACTTCTCATTCTCTCTCCGTCTCTTCACTTTTGAGAATTCAATTTGCCTTCAAATTTTCTCTCTTTAACTTTTCTCTTCCAAACCCCAGTTTTCATGCTTCCAAGCTCCTGCAACTGCTCCAATCATCTCTTCTGGCGAGCATTTCATCGTTTGGTTCTGATTACTCTCGCCATCTGACTTCAGTAAGCCTCATTCCGGTGTCCTCTTTATCACCTTCACTTGGTAAGTCCCCAGTTTTTTCTTTTTACTTCCTGGTCATGTTCTTCAATATATCTTCCTTTTGAGTTTTGCCATATGTTCCACTCTGTATCTGTTGCTGTGGAAATTACATTTGTTTTCGTAGTTGTACTTTGTTTAGTATGAGTCATTATCTATTCTTGAATTTGTCTTGTTCCTTGAAGTTTCGTTATTGCATTTGCTTGTGATTTGTATACATTGCTTTCACACACTCACAACGCTTGTAATTCTTCATGTTCTTGGATTTTGTTTGCCTTTGATGCTTCTTAACTCTGAATCATATTCTTTTCCTGTTCTTCTTGATTATTTCAGATCTTTGGTTTTTGATTCTTGTTTCTGTAGTTTTAGGTTTGGGAATTGCTAGAAATCACATACTTAGGAGAAACTAAAACAAATCCCTCCTTGAATTTTCAAAACCCTTGTCCCTAATACATGTTTAAGGTTTAGCCGAGGTTTCCTCAACCTTTCTCTTGAGATCTTCCACCAGACACCTTAAACTGATATCATGGGTATATTTAGATGGAGAGTAGACACCCCTGCCAAGCTATAGTACTTTAGGCAAGAGTTTTCCATTCCAGCCGACATTCAGGTCAGGTTAGCTGGAGAGGAAGACTTTATCATGCCAGTTGAGGACTCCATGCCCTTTCCTGTTGTAGCATTCATTGAGTGTGGACTTCGGCTTCTCTTAGACATCATTTTTAGGGAAATCCTTCACTACTACAAATTCAACCCTATGCAGCCAGCCATCAATTCCTATAGGATTATTAATGGTATAATTGCTCTAGCTAGCCGAGAAAACTCTAGGATAACATTAGCTGACATCCAATTTTGTTACCCCATGTGTGGCCTAAAGTCTAAAAATGCTACATTTATTACCTCAAGCCGAGATCCATAGCCTACAAAATCATAGCCGACCTCCCAGACTCTAACAAGGGTACTGGAGATGATTACTTGATTGTATCGGGTAACTGGGAATTTGCTCCTGATGATGATCTCCATCTCTTCCCTCTGCGCTGATCGGTGTTTAAAGAGGATAAGGGTAAGAACTAAGTGTTAACTTCTCTATTTAAGACTTTATCATTTTATTTCGATTATCTGTTCTAATGTTTGCTTTCTGCCCTTTGTAGCTCTTCTTCAACCATCAAAGGACTTCCGCCAATCTTTCTTCCTCAGCAAAGACCTGAAAAGGCTGCTAGGCCTGCCTATTGACCGGCGCAAAGCTCCCTTGCTACTTAATTATATCCCAACATACAAGTCGGCCTTGCCCGACGTTCCTAGGCGTAGCAAGACTCCTTCGTCTGCTTCAACTCCTCCAACAGCTTCATTTCCAAGGCCAGATCAGGCCTCCACCTCTGACCCAGTTGAGTAACCATCCACTTCTGCCCCCCAACTAATTCCTCCATCCCAGCACCAACGCCGACACCGAGCTCCAGTTTTTGCCCCTACCAGCAGAACTTACAGTTGCCGACGTCAAGAATCTGAGGCATTGGCTCACTACGCTGTTAACCCTCCCATAGCCTTTCCAGCAATCTGTTTTGGCTCCAAGGTCACTGTTGCTGCCACCGCTGAAGAAATGGACTGCGCAAAAATCATTCTTGACGACCTGCTTGCCAATATTTCCGACGTGGTGTCGGTCCATTCCTCATCTCCTTCCTAATCTCAGCAAAAACCCAAGGCAAAAAGGGCCAAGGCCAAACCTAGCGCCACCGAGGTGGAGTCAGAGGACACAGTGCCAATTTCAAAATTGGTTGAAATAGAGAAGT